GATAATGCGCCGCAGCCAGGTCAGCAGTGACCTGGGGTATTCCTAACTCCCTACACGGTTATGGTCCGGCCTGAACAATTTTTGAAGAGTATGATTATTGTAATACTGTTTATTTGGCACAGCATGGATAACTAAGAGTAATGGAGTAAGAACAGTTTTGAGCATCATCGTGCAGCAAAATACAGGGAAGCGGACTTAAGTGACCACTGCCAAACTCGCAATGCATATGCATTGGGGTGTCCAACCACTAAGTAGGAGAATTATTGGTTCTAAACCAAAGCCTTTAGCTCTGACAAAAACTCAGCCGCAAGGCAGCGTAGGAAGCGAAGTGGAGGCCCAGATACTTGGATCAATTACTCGTCCACCATTTGTTAATGACTGAAACGCAAATTCTCGTCAAACCCCCCACCTGGAGATTGAACTTCGTCCGACCTATACCATCGACCTTCCAGGTATGATTAGATCTTCGGCTTGGTAAAAGCCATCCTGTGTAGCTCGCTGGGTCAGAGAGGTGCACAAGCCATTACATCACGTCCGTGTGCAGTTTCGTTGTGATTAGTCTTTGGTTATGGCCAGTTCAGTTCAGTTACAGCTGCATCTTTGAAATCGACGAGAAATGCGAACTGAAGTTGTTCCTGAAGAGGTCTGACCATCCATCTACCGACTCAGTAAAAACTAGAAGTGTAAGAGCAGAACACCCTGGTAACATGTTTTCGTTTTTCTTTGCCCTTAATTGGAATGTAACCGGAAGATGAACGCCCACGTACAACAATCTCTTGCCTTGGAGGTGAGATGAGGCATCTTTCCCTTTTCTTCCTATTTTCAGCAAGTAAAGGACTACTCTCCGTAGTGGTGGGTGCCATACTTGACTGTATACCACCGAATGGATTCTGGAAGCTCGACTGGCAGTGGCTATTTTCTGTCCTGTGCAAACTGAAATGACCTGAACTAAACTAAACCCAGATTGCAGACAACTGGGCATGGTCTGAAATCCGTTAACTAACCCAAGACCTTAGTGGAAGTCTGGGAAGGATACTAGAACATCTTACACAAAAGGCGACTACAGGTAGTTCGAACTACCTGCAATAATTGATCAATGATTGCCATATGGCAAAGGGATTGATCACACGAATGCGATGAAAATTATTAGAGCATAAAAGAAACGTAACATACCAGGAAGCCTGACCAGACTGGACGCTTTCGTAGCAACACCAACAGCTACAGATCTGCTGAGCGGGGGTTAAATGAACTGCTAGACATCTTACCCGTTACCACCACGACTGGATATCGTAATTTCGAAGTAGTAGATGCCGACTGTCAGTGGAATGGGGGCATCGGCTCTTGCACAAGCTGCCTCACCATTAGTATAGTTTGAGTCTACAAAAATATGCCTGACCGACGAAACCACTGACCATGACGTTCACTGAAGCCTCCACTGTAAGTTATGGAGAGTGCGAAATGCGAGAGCCTTAAATGTCGTGATCGGTCTTTCGTGTTCCAGAATTTAGGTAAGCGCTGAGATTCTGGAGCACTACCATCAGTCTTATAGATTCTTAACATGTACTCATCTATTTCTTTCGATATCCGGCCGCGGCCAGGTGGATACGCCATATTGACTTAGACAGCTGATACTGACAATTGGCGGGAACCAAAGCGGCAAAGGACGCCCTCCAGACGGTTGATATAAACTTTTTAGGCCTCTAGATGAACATCGATGATCCTCTTATAAATCATTGCAGAAGAGCCATACATCCTCCTACGCCATATTTCGGCAAGATTAATGCCAATATAGTCCAACATCATTGTTTAAATGCATCAATGATTGCAAGTAGAAACCAGCGTAATTTTGAGAGCGATTCTGTAAGTTAAGTTTACAGTCCTCATTTCGAAAATCGGAGCTTTCGAATCTCTCTGCGGGTACTGCTGATAGCTTCCCATTTCAAAAATGGGAAACATTCATGGGGTGCAATTCAGCTCAGTTCAGTTTCTCAGGATGAAATATAGCTCTTCTCAATCGCGCGCCCAGTTCGTTGTCTTGAAGTCTTGAAGTGATTCACGGGTTCCAGGCTGTTGCCCAAATGTCCCGGGTCCTTTAAAGGTATCTGTGTTTTCTTTTGGTTTGAATTACCTCTAGAACAGAGAGTACTGAATAAGGATTAGTAGGGTTCCCCGCTCGAGGCGAGAAATAAAATGAACACTTGCGAACTCTTATATAATTCAAAATGTTTTTTTTTTCTTTTCATTGAGGAGGAGTAGGTTAACCTAAGTGGCGCCAAGACGAAGTTT